ATAATGACACTTTGATGCCAGTAAAGTGATGCAAATCTAGAGACAGAGAGAGTCTCTTTTTTGTGTAGAAACGATACAACATGCGCTCATTCCCACTAGGTATCACCTTTCGTTGATGCTAATTCAACACCTGGCAAATTATTGGAAGCTCCTAAACAATCTCCTGTTCTGTAAATTACTCTGTTATCAATCATTTTGATTACACAAAAGTAACATACAGAGTGACGTACAAAGTAACATACGGAGTAACATATGGAGTAACGTACAGAATGACATACGGAGTTACATGCGGAGAGATATAAGGAGTACAGAGGAAAGTACGGAGAAAAGTACGGAGGCCAGTACGGAGGAATGTACGGTGGAACGTACAGAGGAACGTACAGAGGAACGTACAGAGCGTACAGAGGAACGTACAGAGGAACGTACAGAGGAACGTACAGAGCGTACAGAGGAACGTACAGAGCGTACAGAGGAACGTACAGAGGAACGTACAGAGGAACGTACAGAGGAACGTACAGAGGAACGTACAGAGGAACGTACAGAGGAACGTACAGAGCGTACAGAGGAACGTACAGAGCGTACAGAGGAAAGTACGGAGGCCAGTACGGAGGTATGTACGGTGGAACGTACAGAGGAACGTACAGAGGAACGTACAGAGCGTACAGAGGAACGTACAGAGGAACGTACAGAGGAACGTACAGAGCGTACAGAGGAACGTACAGAGCGTACAGAGGAACGTACAGAGCGTACAGAGGAACGTACAGAGGAACGTACAGAGGAACGTACAGAGCGTACAGAGGAACGTACAGAGGAACGTACAGAGCGTACAGAGGAACGTACAGAGCGTACAGAGGAAAGTACGGAGGCGAGTACGGAGGAATGTACGGAGGAACGTACAGAGGAACGTACAGAGGAACGTACAGAGGAACGTACAGAGGAACGTACAGAGCGTACAGAGGAATGTACAGAGGAACGTACAGAGGAACGTACAGAGGAACGTACAGAGCGTACAGAGGAACGTACAGAGCGTACAGAGGAACGTACAGAGGAACGTACAGAGGAACGTACAGAGCGTACAGAGGAACGTACAGAGGAACGTACAGAGCGTACAGAGGAACGTACAGAGCGTACAGAGGAAAGTACGGAGGCCAGTACGGAGGTATGTACGGTGGAACGTACAGAGGAACGTACAGAGGAACGTACAGAGCGTACAGAGGAACGTACAGAGGAACGTACAGAGGAACGTACAGAGCGTACAGAGGAACGTACAGAGCGTACAGAGGAACGTACAGAGCGTACAGAGGAACGTACAGAGGAACGTACAGAGGAACGTACAGAGCGTACAGAGAAACGTACAGAGGAACGTACAGAGCGTACAGAGGAACGTACAGAGCGTACAGAGGAAAGTACGGAGGCCAGTACGGAGGAATGTACGGAGGAACGTACAGAGGAACGTACAGAGGAACGTACAGAGGAACGTACAGAGGAACGTACAGAGGAACGTACAGAGCGTACAGAGGAATGTACAGAGGAACGTACAGAGGAACGTACAGAGGAACGTACAGAGGAACGTACAGAGCGTACAGAGGAACGTACAGAGGAACGTACAGAGGAACGTACAGAGCGTACAGAGGAACGTAGGGAACTAGAGGAACGTACAGAGCGTACACGTAGGAACGTACCAGAGGAACGTACAGAGGAACGGTACAGAGGAACGTACAGAGGGAACGTACAGAGGAACGTACAGAGGAACGTAACAGAGGAACGTACAGAGCGTACAGAGGAACGTACAGAGCGTACAGAGGAAAGTACGGAGGCCAGTACGGAGGTATGTACGGTGGAACGTACAGAGGAACGTACAGAGGAACGTACAGAGCGTACAGAGGAACGTACAGAGGAACGTACAGAGGAACGTACAGAGCGTACAGAGGAACGTACAGAGCGTACAGAGGAACGTACAGAGCGTACAGAGGAACCGTACAGAGGAACGTACAGAGGGAACGTACAGAGCGTACAGAGAAACGTACAGAGGAACGTACAGAGCGTACAGAGGAACGTACAGAGCGTACAGAGGAAAGTACGGAGGCCAGTACGGAGGAATGTACGGAGGAACGTACAGAGGAACGTACAGAGGAACGTACAGAGGAACGTACAGAGGAACGTACAGAGCGTACAGAGGAATGTACAGAGGAACGTACAGAGGAACGTACAGAGGAACGTACAGAGCGTTACAGAGGAACGTACAGAGCGTACAGAGGAACGTACAGAGGAACGTACAGAGGAACGTACAGAGCGTACAGAGGAACGTACAGAGGAACGTACAGAGCGTACAGAGGAACGTACAGAGCGTACAGAGGAAAGTACGGAGGCCAGTACGGAGGTATGTACGGTGGAACGTACAGAGGAACGTACAGAGGAACGTACAGAGCGTACAGAGGAACGTACAGAGGAACGTACAGAGGAACGTACAGAGCGTACAGAGGAACGTACAGAGGAACGTACAGAGCGTACAGAGGAACGTACAGAGGAACGTACAGAGGAACGTACAGAGCGTACAGAGAAACGTACAGAGGAACGTACAGAGCGTACAGAGGAACGTACAGAGCGTACAGAGGAAAGTACGGAGGCCAGTACGGAGGAATGTACGGAGGAACGTACAGAGGAACGTACAGAGGAACGTACAGAGGAACGTACAGAGGAACGTACAGAGGAACGTACAGAGCGTACAGAGGAATGTACAGAGGAACGTACAGAGGAACGTACAGAGGAACGTACAGAGGAACGTACAGAGCGTACAGAGGAACGTACAGAGCGTACAGAGGAACGTACAGAGGAACGTACAGAGCGTACAGAGGAACGTACAGAGGAACGTACAGAGGAACGTACAGAGGAACGTACAGAGGAACGTACAGAGGAACGTACAGAGCGTACAGAGGAACGTACAGAGGAACGTACAGAGAAACCTATATAGTTCTGTAGAGAGTACAGAGAGTAACGTAAGGAGTAAAGAAGTTCCAGGTTAGATGCAGGGTAACTTTGGTCATCAGAGGTCGTCAGCGTTGTGACAGTCCACTATGCTATCACTCTACTCTGTGGGTGTTTCAAGGAGACAGATAAACATGCCAAAAGTATGGAATTCATATGAATGCATCAATTATAATGACATTTACAGAACAATTTGTATCTTTACGTTATATTTGATATGTTGCCATGAACATGAAACGGCTTCATCATCACACTATACATATGTGCAATACACTTTGATGCTCCTCCATGCATAACACACGCATGGTGGTGTTGTTTTGATGTCAGCAGCACCATCTCAAATCGGCAGTTTAATGCAAGCAGCAGCGCGGGGATCTGCTCTTTGAATACCCCGTGAAAAGTGACGGCTGCGATGAAGAAGGGCTGTCTGCTGTGCTGTGATAATTCATAATTACATGCAAACTCCCCAGGGGTAGTTTCTACATCAGAAATTAAAAACATCCAGTGAGTGTTCGCTTGTCCAAATAGGATGTGAGCTCCAGAACACAAAGCCTGCCTCCCTCACACGGCTGGTGCTGAGCAGCTCTCAGCTTCCCTCCACCCACCGCCTGCAGCTCATTCAACATCATACATTACATTTCTGTGTGTTGGCTGTGGTCTGTTTTCACTTCTGAAACATTGAAATAAATCCTCTCCAAACACACTCATTCATTCTGACCCTCCATCTGACGATACAGAACATTGTGACCACATAACTCGTCTTTAGAACCCTGTCGTTTATCTGTGCAAGTTAAAGGACTACATCTCCCACAAAATGACCATTTTATGTTACCTTGAATTCTTTAAATACTGTATGTTGCATGTTTTCTCAGTTCACCAATGAGAAGCACAAACAGATGTATGACCTATCACCAGCGTTGGGAGTGTTACTTGAAAAATGTTACAATTATAGTTACCTGTAAAAGAAAAGAATCAGTAACCTAATCTTTGTCAAATAAAAAGTAATGTAACCTGATAACCTCCTGTTTACTTTGGGATTTCCTCAATATAGAATGCAATAAAAATGAATTGAAAATAAATACATTTCAATAAGATGTTTTTAAGTAAAGTGTACTCTGTAAGACAACAGATCCATGTGACCTTAGAGAAGACGAAACCAAGAGGAAGAACAAACATTTTATTCTAAGTAGAAATACTTCAGTCTTTAAATACTTGAATACAAGTGAAAGTACTGAATTCAAAATGTAAAGTATTGCCAGCTAAATATACTTAAAGTATCAAAAGTAAAAGTATGCATTATGCACAATGGCTGATTTGAACATATCATATTATTATGGAATAATAAAGGATTCCTTCTTTGAATTGCTTACAAATACATGTAAGAACATTTCAATGTTGTAGTTTATTACTAAGACAATTTGAGTTTCTTTATTAATATATTGGTAGAAATGTACTGCATTATATCATATCAAAATGTCATTTGTTTTATATGTTAACAGTAGCTGGTAACTATTAGTGTTAATAAATGTAGTGGAGTCAAAAGTACAATAAATGTTCCAAAATGTGAGGGAGTAAAAGTATAGTAAAAGTATAGTAAAGTAGAAGTATGACAAGTAGGCTACAGTACTTTAGTAAATGCACTTAGTAACTTCCCACCTCTGTAGATTAAGATATCTTGTAAACATTTTTTTAATGTATTTTTATAATAGTTTTTAAAATGTGCACACCAAAGTAAATCTTTGTATGCATAAACCTGCTTGACAATAAACCTGATTCTGATCTATAGTGGAGGTTTGACTGTACACTACACATAAGTACATTCTGGACTGAAGCGTCCTCCCGTCTGCAGCCTGAGAAAATGTCTTGTGTCATCTTTCGCAGTCATATTCCCGCTGTGTGCACGGAGGGAAGGAGAGGGGGGGGGGGAGCACCGAGCGAGCGCGAGGGGAGGGATCTGAGCGAGCAGCCAGTAGTGCGATTCTCCAAACTCTGCTGCGTACGTTCCAGGGAGTGCGCGCACGTTTCCCGCGGGCGCTAACGCAAAGCCGCACCGCGCTTACGATGTTGTGAATGAGGATAGAGTGACGTCAGCGGCCGAATGTCAACAATGTAGCGACTGTAGGCGTTCCAGTCGAGAGTAACAAACAGCGGAGACGGAGCGGCACGCCGCGCTGGAGCACCGCGCGCACACACGCACGCAGTCGTACACACAACAGAGTCACACACGGTGTTTTTTACTGAAGTGACACAAAAGCGAGGTGCTGCATCGGGACAAGAAGTGACCTCTCTGAGGAAAGGAGTTATCATGTGAGAGAACTTATGAGGGACACGGACAAAAGGGCTGGAGACGCGCGGAATAGAAAGTAAAAGGTGAGCTGCTGCACGTTTCTCCGCGTCATTTATCTCCTCTGATATATTCCTCTCTGTTTCTCATGTGTGAATCCACCGTTTCTCAACTTCAGTGTTTTGTTGATGCTCTCTAAGCCGAGTTGCAAACTTGCATTAGTGTCGCAGCCCGAAGAGTCCTCTCTGTGATCTGTGGAAAAAGTCACTAGTAAACTGAAAGGAAGGAAAACCGCGTGCATGTCTCTGAAGCTTGGCGTGGTGATAATATTGGAGGCTGTAATGCGTCGGGGTGTGAACGCGGGTTCAGGAGTGAAACACACTCTGAACCACATCCTGTTATGCTTTCAGTCAATACGCCGTGTGCGCTCCATTTTCTCTGTTTTTGTCAAGTAGGTGAGCGGAGATCCCGCAGGAGGCACGCGCTGCTTCTATCAGCAGAAATATGCACACATAAAAAGAGAAGCTGTCACCTGCAGCGTCATAAAACACCTCAATCACTTCATGAACAATCATTATTATTACCATATTATTATTACTATGAGAAGTATTATTGTTATTATTAGCATTATTATTATTATTAAACAGTGCACTTCAATGTTCTTCTGCTCTTCCCCAATCTGATTGCATGATGTCATCACCTGCCCATTAATCAACATTTTTAAATATTTGCTGTGTAATGACGGTCCTTATTTGCTCCGACAACCAATAGAATCATGTACATCTCGACGGTGTCTTTTAGGAACCCATATTTTCAATATCATTGACCCCTTGTGTTTAATATCGGGAGCAAGCTTTGTATACCATGTCCTGGCTAAAAACTAAACATTTGGATTTGAAGTGGTGACGGTATGAACCCAGCTGCGCCTTTACGACGCCGGTCCTGCTTTGTCATGAGGATGCTTGCAGCAGGGCTTAGTCAGTCCTGTCATTTTATTATGGAGGAGTCAGCGGTTGTAGTGAGGAATGCTGTGATGCAAGTAAGGTCTCACAAGTCGATATATTGTTGGAAAACACTTCTGGGGAAAAAGAGAACACCCATAAGCAGAGCAGTTTTATAACACATGCACCTATACACTTCAATACAATATTTTAGTTTGTTTTTGAGGGCATTTACAGAGAACTGAAATCATCTGATCGTCCACCTTTGCTTTGCTGGAATGAAAGGAAGCTGTGACCAGACGCAGAATGAGTGTGTGTGTTTCGGGATACTATGGTTTGATCGCCACGTGTTTGCGATGAGGTTCCATACGGGAGTGATGCTGCCATTAATGATACAGCATTCTGAGGAGCCTCTTTGTCTGTTTGTGCTGATGCAACGCGGTGATGGCACTGAGGGGATGCAGCATCACCCCACCCCCCCTCACCCATTCCTCACATCATGTGTCACGTTGTAAATATTGGAGTGTGTGCAGCAGATGATTTTGAGTGCATGCTGGGTGGAGGTTTTTGTATCTGATCATTGAGATTTTAATGGGGGCTTATGAAAACACATGGTGGTGTAACTGTTCTGACATCGCTCTGCTTGCACAACACGTGCACGCGGCAGGCAGCACTCATGCGCAGTTTTACGCAGGGAGCCTTTTGTTCTGTACAGTAGTCCCGCTGCCTTTCTGTTCCCGTGCATGGCAATCCCCTGCTTATTGTAAGAGGGAGGGGGGTGTCCAAAACTGTAAACCCCACAATGACTCAGTCAGGATTAAATGCCACTTCATCATATCTGCCAGCCAGCTCTCTGAAATGTCTAATAATATGTATGTCTCTGAATCTGCGTTCATTATTTTCTTTGTCCTTTAATTAAAAGAATATGAATTGTAATAGCAAATGCCATTTTCACTTTGGCAGCACTATGAAATGATTATATTCTGCTCTTTCTTTGTGGAAAAAGACATTTCCATTCAATCAGGTCGATTTTCACGTGTGTGTTTTTGCCTTGCTGCATCTTTAAAGATTGTGCATAAACTACACCAGCTGATAGCTGCATCACGAAAATACTTCTTATCTATCGTTGTCTATTATTTTTAAACCCCCTTTTATTTTACTTCTTTTTATGTAAAAAAAAGAATGTTGTAAAAAAAAGATTGCCCTTGTGCAACAATCAGCATGATTGTTGCACAAGGGCAATCTTTTTTTTACAACATTTTTTTTAAATCAATATCAAAATGTGATTAAAATGAGCTACTGACAACAAAAGAAAGAGTAAATGATACCAAAGTAATTATAAAAAAGCAAGAATCTTGAGAGCAGAATATCCAATCAAATCAGATTGATCACACCTGGCCAGACAATGCACTGGAAAAACACATTGCTGCATCATACCAAAAAATAAAAAAATCTAAATATTGTTTACAGTTTAAATGTTCAGCTGTATATCTTCTGTACATTTGCTTCTGTTATTTGCTTAAGATGAGCCAAATTTCACAATTATCCGTCTAAATACTGGGATCCGCCTGTAAAATACTAATATTTGAACAGTTAAAGTTGCTAACTTATAAATAGAAAATAATATAGGCTTCCTCTCCCTGTGGCCCCAACTTTCTGAAAGTGCATCAAAATAGATAAGGACCCTGATGAAGAAAAATGATAAGTCATAAAGTTGTTATTATACAACAGAGATAAGATCTCGGGCTGAGCTTGGGAACATCTGAGTCTGACTGGGCTGTTTGGGGATCTCGACATAATGACTCCCTCAGGGCTCAGCCTCTGAAATGCCACCCGGCAACAGGATCCTCCATGTGACCCGGTCCATTCTGAAGTGTACCGTGCAGGGGGGGTGGGGGGCTTCTACTGCTTTCTACTGAGCCTGTAGTTATCATCTTTATGTTGCTGAAGTTCCTATCAAGCTAGATGGCAATAGAAGCTGCTTGTGTTCAAAAGTAACCAAGCACTTAAGGGTTAATGATTCATGAAATTGCAGTAGGAGTGATCTCATTGTATGATTATAGACGGATTTCTCCAGAAAACAGCCCCTAACGTGCTAAAACGGCATCACTTTCACTCTTATCAATCATAGCAGAAGTGTGGTTTAAAAGAATAGCAGAACTAAAGAGGATTAAGTCAGAGTAAAGAAAGAGTAAAGAAATTAACAAAAAGCTGCAAATCCACATCTATTGCATAGATTTGTTTTTTAATCTTTGCATCACTTAGGACATTTGAGTAACCCCCACCAGCTCAGCTCAACATCCCAAGTCAGTGCCTTGGCCAGAAAAAAGAGAAGAAACACATTCCCATAGCGCTCCCACGTCAGCACAAAGGCATGTTTGACTGGGCTGCTGCCAGTGTGAGGCAGCCACCAGCACTCTGCTGCTGCGTGGAGAGACCTCAGATCTGCACTTTACACCAAGAGCTATTGTTTCCCCTCTTTCTCTCTTTCTGATCCTTTCTTCTCTCTGTCATATCATGGCTGCTCATTCTTCTCCTCCCACCGTTCACTGTGCACTGGCACCGTCTCTCACCGTGTGAAATCCAAAGCTTTACCCAGCTGCCCTCAGTCTGTAGAGTTACAGTCTGTCTCTGTGTTTGATGCGCAGCACACACACTTGCCAAGAAGCTATCAAATCTAAAACACCACAGGCAGCTCTCTGATTGTTTTGTTTTGTGTTGCCTGTAAGAAATGAGAGAGAAGCGTAAATCATCCCGGTGTCTGCGTCAGACCCTTCTGATGATCTCACACACAGCGGAGCGCTTCACCTTCTCAACTCTGACTTAATCCTCTTTAGTTACCCGTCCTGTGGTCATCCATGAATTTCAACTGTGCAAAACATATTGAGCTAATAAAAGGATGCACATCTGGTCCTGATAGCTTTGGAAAATAAAAACGTGAGAGTAGAAATGTTAGGGCGTTTTAGTATTATGTTATCGAAGCAGTGCAGAGTGTGTAAAGCGGCGTTCAGTGAATGACCTGTTTGTATTGGCTTGGTGCAGCACTACTACTGCTGGCAGGAGGCAGGAGCACATATTGTGAGTACATATGTGTTCATTCCAAGAGTGAGGAGTAACCTGAGGTTTTGGACACTGGCATCTTTGCATCCTCACAGCTGCAGGGCCACTTGACATTCACATTGATATCAGTCAAATGTGCAGCAGTGCATGAATGTTACCAGAAACTGCACTTGTCTTTTGATTTGATTCCAGGAATTTACTTTACTTCAATTTAAATTATTTCATTTTAAATATTGTACTCAGAATTTTAATTTAATCTATATTTTTCCCGAAATTGCTACATCTTTTATTTGTATATTTCTGTTTGTTGAGCAGTTCAGTTGTGAAATTGCCAGTGGAACACCTATTTTGACACATAATCTGAAACTTGCATGTATTCTGAATCTTTCCCTCCTGATACACATCCAGTGTTGCATAAAACACCCTTTTTCATGTTGGATTAATGATAACACACCCTGTAGTGTCTGGTCCCCCCTGCTACCACTGTAGACATGCTCTGTAAACCGTATGAAATGAGAGCAGTTTGCTGGTGAAGCCTATGGACAAACAGAGAGTCTCTGGTGTTTGTCTTGGGAAACTCTGGAGCTCACATCAATAGTGATTTAAAACGTTCCCCTTGTCTGCCAACTGCTGAGTCACACATAAAGTGGACTCTGTCACTGACTGGAGATCAGTCCCTCTGCTTCAACCTGTTCACACCAACAGTCTGAGGCCTGTCATTTATTACAATGCCCTTTGTGATGCATCATCCTTCTAGTTTTTCAACCCGTCAGAGTAGTTTGTAACAATCCACTTTGGTTGGAGTTGTTGGTTTACTGCATATCACATGATCTTCATTGACAGATGGAGATCTTGTGAGATGATTAAAAGCATCTAATGGCGCATTTCCACTACAGCGCGGTTTAAGCGTTTTTGGTTGTGTTTCCACTAGGCGTAGTTCCGGCTAGCGGGTACTTTTTCACAGTTTTCTGGCTCTCCAAAATCGAAGTTCTTTTTCCGGGCCAACAACCGGGCTGAGTATGCTAAACTAGTGAGAGAATCGCTGGCAACTACAACATATTTGACCGTGATTTAATTATAATACA